TCACACTGTAAGTGAGCATGGTGTGCAAACTGATCCTGACAAGGAGAAAGCAGTGCGTGATTGGCCAACACTAGACAATGTGGGAGAGTTAAGAAGTTTCTTGGGACTCTGTACCTATTACCGGAAGTTTGTGAAGGGCTTTGCAACTATAGCTGCTCCACTACATGATTTGACAAAAAGGCCAGAAGTTTGAATGGACAGTTTCTTGCCAGCATGATTTCAAGACATTGAAAGAAAGATTGGCCTCAGCTCCACTTTTAAAGCTTCCAAATCCCTCACTACAGTACATCTTGGATTGTGATGCTGGTAATGTCGGAATTGGAGGAGTGTTGTCTCAGAAAGGTGTCTACCTTAAGCCCTATGACAAAGAACAATAGGACCAATTGAAGCTTGAAGATGGTATTATTGTCCGGAGAATGGAAACTGCAGATGGGAAAGTGACGACCTGGCAAACAGTTATAACGAGAAAGTTCACCCACAGTCTGATTTAATGTAAGTGGCTATTGTTCGGGACGAACAATGCTAAGGAAGGGGTAGCGTTACGACAGCGGAAGTCACGCGACACTGGGAGCATGCGCGCTGGAGTTTCTAGAAGGATCATGACTTATCGAGGAACCTCGCGATTGTCCGAGTGTTTGCTAGGCGCCCTGTTTTTAAGTATATAAGCCCGGCAAATAAAGCCAGCGATAGATAGATATGCAGATAGACTGAAGATATAGATAATTGAGTCAAGCGAACAGTAGGCACTGTAAGTAAAGTGTGTGAACCACTGTGATTTATAGCGTGTGTTATAAAGGTTGTTAAGTTTAAGGTGACTGTGGAAATTCTGTGTATTACAAAGTTGCATCGAGAAAGAATAAACTAGTTTTAATTAAGAAAGGACTTGTATCGCTGAAGTTCTTTAGAGAGAATTTATACCGGAAATTAAGGAAATTATCAAACGAGCAGAAACGTAACAGTATGTAGTACGAGGGACAAACTTAGCCTTAAATATAGCAATAAATCCCAGTAATGTAGTATCAAAAAGACCAAGATCTACATTCTGTACTACAGTTAGCTAAATGATCATGTGCAACCAACAAAAACAACAATAGCTTCTTTCTCTCTTTGCCATACACATTAAGAAGTGCCATAACTGCTTAATTGCTTACAGAATTACTGCTCCCTCCTAAAGATAGTGAAAGCTGAGGAACTTACTTGAGAACTTCACTGCTTCTAAAAGGGGGAACTATAATAAAGACTATTATTTTGAGAAACATTTATATTTATATAATTCACAGAATATAAACAATTACATAATATATTTTAAGTTATACTATATGTAATAACAATAGAAGTAAATTTTACTATTTGTGTTTAGAAAAACGTCTTATTTTACTTTCACTATATGTTTCAAATGAAAATTGCAGGATTTGAGTTATAAATACCCCCCCCCCCCCAATTTGATTCTAAATGTACCTCAAGCAATTAGAGTTACTATCCTTTTGTCATATGCCACATAATTAATACAAATCCAGAAAAACAACAAAACAAATTACATAGTGCAGACATAGCTTCTTCAGATTATTTCATTTAATTTAAACAATGTTTATAAAGGAGGGAAACAAACTATTCTCTTCATATATCAGAAGGGGAGCATTATATTTAGTGTTATAATTTAAAGTACTTTGTTAATATAGTATATAAGTATACTAAGTGTTTTTTACCCCTTATTTGTATTCTTGTGGGACAAGAAAGTATAGTTGTTTTTTATTATTATTTCCGCGCAAAGCTACTCGATGGCTATCTGAGCTAGCCATCCATAATTTTAAAATGAACTAGAGGGAAGAGAACTATTCAACACCACCCAACGCCATCTCTTGGGCTACTGTGTACCAACAATTAGCGAGATTGACCTTACCATCGTATCGTCCTCATCATTGAAAGATAACTGCTGGGTTTCGATTCTGCGATCCGTAGATTGTGACTCGAGTACTCTAGCTACCAGGCAATGCCAAGCCTTTACGAGAGGGCTGTGAAAAGTTTGTTTGTTTGTTTTGAATTTTGCGCAAAGCTACATGAGGGCTATCTGCGCTAGCCGTCCCTAATTTAGCAGTGTAAGACTAGAGGGAAGGCAGCTAGTCATCACTACCCACCGCCAACACTTGAGCTACTCTTTTACCAACGAGTAGTGGGATTGGCCGTAACTTTATAACGCCCCCATGGCTGAAAGAGCGAGAATGTTTGGTGTGACGGGGATTCGAACCCGCGACCCTCAGATTGCGAGTCGGATCTAGTTTTCTGTATGATAATACATGCTCTTCGCCACAGGCAAATCACCACATAGCATCAAATCGATGTGTTTCCTTGCTATCAAATTATAATACTTGTGCTTTTACAAGGTATGGCAGAAAAGCTTGAGCGATGTTCTGATTGGGTGGATTCTTTGTAGCTGTACGCACTCTAGTGAGTAGTTCAAACATTTTGGTTTATGTTTTAGTAAACGTTCATGAAAAATTTCTAAAGCGAAACGTTGAGTGTCTAATTAAATAGAAACAACATTTTGGTGTTATTAGATCGTTTATTTCTAGTATTAATTAAAGTGTGCAAAATGTTTATAAGAGATCGCTGAAACAGTGATAATAATTTAGTATGATGCCAGTACAGTGTTACTGACGTAAATAACAGTGAGTTCAAAATAATGTTTTGATGACATTAAGACTTAATAATGTTATATTTTATCATACTTTAGTTATCTATAGTATAGTTGTATTTGGAAGCAAAAGAAAAGAAAAAATATTTGCATCTCTACTGATATTTACTGCACTATTACTAGTACTATTGATATTACTGAGACAGATAGTAGTACTAGTAGTTTGTAGCATGCGAAATTATTTTTAATTTATTATAAAATTATTATTTTTTTAGTAGCACTAGTAACTAGCCAATATTATTATTAGCCTAATTTACTAATAATAGACTTTCGGTTAGTTTAGACTTTTAGGTTATAAAACTTTAACTTGCAAAATATCTTGTAATAACACTATTAACAGTAACCCAGACTTCCATTTGTTCTAATTTTTGTTAAAGCCTAAAAATATCAAGAACAATGGTGGGTCTTAACACAGTTCTTTTGAACAAGTTGAATAATAACTAATATCAATAAATTAGATTTGCCCTCATTGCTCCAATTCTGTGATGAGACCACTGAAGTTTTACTATACTATTTAACTATTTTTTAAGCTTACGTTATTATGTGAAAAATACTGACATTGATAATTGAATTAATTGAAGTTTAAACTCAGACTGATTGTTTAATACTCTTGAATAATCTCCCTATTAATGTTTAATTGAATGATAGAATGAAAAAGTTAGAAAAGTGCACTTGAAATTAAGTATTATGAGTAATAAATTTAATTTGAAAGCCCTGGTTAAAGCTTGTTGTTAGGGAGAATTATTTTTATGTTAGGTATACTATTTTTTAAATGGTTAGTGTGATTACTTGGTGGATATATTATTGATATTTTAACTTCATTAAACTTTGGTTAAATATCATTGAATTTTTTTTTGGTTAGCATTATAATTTCCTAGCTTGTGGAATGCCTTTCATGATGGTTTGGCATGTCCTTTAGTAAGTACTGTACATGGACATAAAATGCATCTGTTTATTCAATTTGTTTTTGCTATTTTATTTGGTTATTTAAGTAAGGTGTGATTTCATTGGGCTAAATAGCCCTTTCTGTCACATTGCCCTGATATTTGTAAAATAAATGAATGCATTCATATCTAATAAATGTTAAGATTAAACAAATAGCACACAACTCATCATCAGCTAAGCCATTTTGTTAATTTATAACTGACAGAGAAATAATTTTGGCAAATCACAGGTCTGGATCTATAGGCTCCAAAGCTTAAACTTACTAACTATTATACTGAGTTTCAGAGTTCTAGTAATTTCATCCACTATTCTGATTAACATAGATATGGTTGAAAGATAAGCATGAAAGAAAGGACTTGTATGTTAGAGTTAATGTGTTCTTACTCAATAATTGATAACTAGTACTGGAGGTTTTTTGGACATATTTGTCAAACTCACTGTCATTATTTGAAATATTACTTACAAGAAACTAAATACATAAAAGTGTTTATGTATTAGATATAACAAGACTGATTGTTGAATATGAACTTGTTTTATATCATGATTAGTCATTTGGATTTGGAGAAATTTCACAGACTTTTTGCTTTTTTATTAATAATAAAAGCCACACCAAATTACTTATTTTGGATTTGTTTTTCAGAGTTTATAATAATTATATAATTCAGATTATAATAGCTGTGAATGTGTCAGTATAGCCACAAAATGTTGCTTGCTTACTTTATTTTAATGAAACTTTCATGTTAAAGTGAGAAAAAAAAAAGTTCTTTATAGTTTGTAGGTTGAGTCATCATGAACACCAATGCAAAAGACACCAGTTAGACATAGAGGAGTTTGCTTCTGATTTTGAGTGTTACTAGATGTGGTCAGCTGTTGTGACAAAAGAAATTTCAAATACCGGTCTGTACAGAACACTTATATATCTGCAGGCTTATCGAAGAAGATTCTGCTTGAAATCACCAAGATTTAATTTTAATAATAAAAAAAAGAAATATAAGTGAGTACCTTATAGTACTTTGAGAAATTGCTTTACATTGTATAATAGATTTTTTGTGGTACAAATCATAAGATTTCTATGATGATAATGTTTGTTTTTTTATTGAGGATATCTTGATGTTATTTGATTATAACATACATATCACATTCTGAGATTTTCATTCCTTAATTATTATTTATAAAGTCCGTTTTTTCCTCGATTTAAAGCTATGTTGTTATTTTTTACTTACAAAACTTCATATTTTGTAACTCCTATATACAAGTCTACATTATATTACAAACACTAACTGTTTTAATATGCAAAATTATTAATATGCAAAACCTTTATTTTTAAGTTTATTTTTCTCTTTTCTCTGTATGTTTGATTTTAATTTTGCCATACAAGCACACCAGTCACTGTTAACTTTCACTTTGCTTCCATCATGTTCTCTCTTTCTACTCTTTAATGGTTGACAATGTGATCTTTCACAAATTTCATAAAATTTTAAGGATGTCCCTTCCAGCTTCCAACTCTAACCACCTCTTACTTCTCACCTAGTCATCCAATCTTTTCTTGAACTCAGTCTAAAGCCTTGCTGCAGACAGAACAAAGTAATTTCCATCCTATCACATGCAGCTCACTATAGATGGATGATTATTGGTGTTTTGGTAATCAACTAATCATTAGACCCATTAACTGATTAGTACAGTGTTCCTTCAACTATGATACATACAAGCAAAAAAAGAAGGTTGTTGGAGATGCTGCCAGACAGTTGCCTTCCCTCTAGTCAGCAGTTAAAAATTAGTGACAATGGCAGATCATCATTGTAGCTTTACCATAATGAGACATGGTGAGTAAGATTGTTGGCAACAGTTCAGTTACTTGGGTAGTTGGAATAATAAAGTAATATTTGAAAACATTAATTTTTATTAGCTGATTATTTTTGTAACAGTCAATTTAATCATAATTTTGATGAATAACTTATTGGAATTTATGTGAATTGATTACTTTATGTGACACTAATCAATGTAGTTGCAGCTCATTCATAGTAATTACTATATTGATTAATTGATTAAATTTACCAGCTCTACATCTCATTTTCCCTGATTTCTGTAATACAAACTTCAGGCTTGAACGTGTTTGTCTCTTTGGACAAATGCAGAAATTGAAGAAATTTCAATGGATGTATATAGCACCCATATGGTGACAGAAAATCCTCACTATTGCTCAAAGCACACTAGACAATTTTATTCTTTTGCTTCATTTTTTTTATTTTAAGTTAAAATATTTATATTACTAAATTTGACAAACTGTGAATAAAATAAGACATGGAAAAGTAATTTCAAGAATGTAGGGTCACTTCAAAGGGTCCTGGCATAGCCTGCAGGCAGGTGCACTCATCTCACAATCTCTGAGTCTTGGGTTCCAATCCTACTACCAAATATGCCCTTTTAGCCATGGGTACATTATAATGTGATGATCAATCCCACAATTTTCTGGTACAGAGTAACCCAAGAGTTGATAGTGGGTTGTGTTGACTAGTTGCTTTTCCTCTACTCTATCACTTCTAAATTAGGTTCGGCTAAAGCAGGTAGCTTGAGTAGCTTTGCACAAAATTCAACAAACATTTCAAAGAAACACACAGTAATTTAAGATATATTTAGTAAACACTGGCTGTAATTACACAGTTTATTATAACAGTAATAAGAATAGTTTGTTTATACAGTAACATTGGTTTTCAGTAAAATATAATTTAAGCATGTGACGTTGGTGGATTTATATGCTTTATGTTAAGCCAAAATTGTTTTCTATACATGAATATATTTTTGGTTAGATATAAAATTGCAATAGATACAGCTGGAATTTCATAACAATTAAATGAAAATTTTAAAACAAAAAAATTATTCATTCATTATGTTTAATAATAGTTTAATATTCACTACCTCAACTGTTGAGGAAGTCATACACAGTATCTAGCAATGTATGCAGAGATCACAGCACTGCACTGTTGAGCTAGTTGATGTTGAAGATGCCTACAATTAGTAGATAATGGGCATTTTGGCAATGAAGTTAAAGGCTGGGAGTATTGGACCTTCTTTTACTATAGATATTGGCTATTCTAGTACCAGACACTGTCAGTGGAAATTTAGCAAATGGAGATCAGAAATTTTTTAAATCAGCTCTGGCTTGTCACAAGCATCCCTGCTTCTGGGTATTGGCTACCAGATCTTACACAGATCTTAATCTGATGAGAGGGAGGGCAGACAGTGCAGTGATACAGAAACTGAAATCAGTCAGTTTGCAAGACATGGATTAGTGAGGCCAAGAAAGATATAGAAAAGATATGTCCACTGTAAAAATCAAGAGTATTGGATATGTTTAGGCAGAGGGAAGTAAGTTAAACACAATGAAGAATGGCTGGAAGATGTGGAGGGAAAGGTCAGGACTGGTCAAAACAATCAAAATCATTGTAATGGATGTATGAGCAGAGACCAACATTGATCATAGCAATAGATGGCTCAATCAGGAAAGACATGACTACATGGTTAGGAGCTGTGCAAAGAGATAGACGTTTAGTGTTTGAATGGTCAGCAACCAAAACTGAGTGATAAGCTCATGTAAAGCAGTATATGAATCATATGAGGACTTGTTTGTTTGACCAGTAACAGTAAAGATAGTGGCAGGACAATACTCCTGACAGTCTTTCCAGACCTCATTACAAAATGAGAAACAGGTTTTATCCAAAGATGAGAATAACCTTTAAGAGACTTCCAGGCCATAACAGCATATCATTTAAAGAGAAGGTAGACCATCTTAATTGACAAGACACAGTCTTTGGGCAACCTCTTAAGATTTCTGAATGATATCTTCAATAAAATAGTATGTAGACTAAGGGAACAGAGTTACACTGGTAAACCAAAAGACTAGAGAGAAGATGGTAAAATTATAGAAAAGGGAGCAATTGCAAAAGTATGTGTAAATGAAAGATGCTAGGAAGATGAAATTGAATTTGTCATTATTGCTATAAGAACTCTGTAAAGGTAATTGGAAAGAGAAGAGCCATTTCCAAATTTATCAAGTGTATAAAAGCTGTAGAAGTAATACTATTCAAATCATCTTGTATACATTGGTACCTTGTGTTTAAAATTGGAATAATAATAAAAACACATTACACATTAATTAATAATAATAATAAAGTAAAAGTGAATACTGTCAACCATTTGTCTTCATGTTGTTATTGGTTTGGGAATAAGGTACATTGCAAATCTACCTTACAAACATATTGCAATGAGCCTCCACAATTGGAAGAAGAAGAGCCTGTACCTTGGCTAGTACTAAACTCCTCTAGCATGCAAATATATAAATTAGATGCTAGTATTGTTATATTAATTTATTTTAATTTTATTTTTTTCTATGATGTCCAGATCATAGACTTGCCCCTCAACGTGGATTCCTGTACGTGGTGAGGGGACCTCCCAGGGAAGGTTCTGTATTTTCAGTTACTTTCTCTGGGATCTAAACATCCACCCACGTGTTTGCCGTGCGTGGTGACCCGTGAAGGGGAGGAGAGGATCCTGGTGGTTGAGTGGTGTCTGGGGCACTGCAACACACCACTTTGGCCTTGAATTCCTGTAGATAGGTGGCCTTGGGGTGGCCCCCCTAGGGTCAATCGGCTGGTCCACTGGGGCTAAGGTCAACTGAGTACCAGTGTTGGGCGTTCTCAACAGGTGTTGTGGACATTGTGTCTGATACTGGTGTTTGGGTATAGTGCTCAGGAAACCTGGCGTTGCTACAGTGTCCTTGTTTGACATTGTAGTGCGTCCCCTCTTAGGACTCCATGGTGGGTGGGGTCAGTGGGCACTGAACCTCTCTCTTTAATTATGGATCCCCCATTCCAAATAAAAAAAATGTTAAAAATCTGCAAATTGGTAAATGACCATGCCTAGAAGACTCTGAACAGCAGTCTCCATCACAAAGTACACCTGTACCTCGCTTTTTGATCCTGCATTCACTGTCTGATAAATCTTTAGGGCAAATGTCTCCCTTTTTTTATTCAGAAGGGCTTGGAGAGGCTTGCTGGTTCTCCAAAGTCAGTTAAGAAGCTCCATTCTGGAGACATCTTAGTAGAAACTTCCACAGTTAAGCACAGTGAACTTCTCTTGAATTCAAAGGCCATTGGGGATATACCCATTGAGGTTACTCCCCACACTTCCTTGAACTCCTCAAGAGGAGTTATCGTTGAGAAGGACTTGAAATCTATCCCCGAGTCGGAGATCCTTGCTGGTTTCTTCAACCAAGGAGTTTCGGCAGTTCGAAGGATCTCCACTCATGAAGATGGAATTATAGTGCCGACCTCAGTTTTGACTTTGACATTTTCATCACTATGTCCACCTCTGCCATTAAGGCAGGTTATTTGAACTGTAAGGTATGGCCCTATATTCCCAACCCTCTCCGATGTTTTCAGTGTCAGCGGTTCGGTCACTCAAAGACATCTTGTCGTGGTTCTGTGATGTGTGCTTGTTGTGGTGGCAAGGACCATGACACCTATGAGTGCAAAATGGACCCTCACTGTGTTAATTGTAGCAGTTCCCACCCCTCCTACTTTAAGTCTTGCCCTAAGTGGGTGGAGGGGAAAGAGGTACAGCGTTTGAAGACTCTTAACAACATCTCTTATCCTGAGGCTCGGAAGCTATTGTTCCCTCTTACATCTCAGACATATGCCTCTGCACTACGCTCCACTGCTACAGTGGGAGTGCAGACGGACCTTTCTGTGCCTCTATCTGAGTCTTTTTCATGCCATGTGTGGGGTCTTCTGCCCTCCATGGATATTAGAGTCAATAGATCTACAGCTACTCCAATCTCTGTCCCCACTGTTCCTTCCAGTGGCTGCCTGGGTCAACCTCCTTGGGCACCAGTCACTGGTGTCCGTGCGAGTCCTTCTTTGGCCCCTAAATGCAGGACGATTAATCGATCACGTCCTCAGTCATTGGATTCTCACTCTGATGACGGAGATCTGCCCGCTCATTCAAGGGCAGGATCCATGGAGGTCGATCGTCCTCCATCTAGTAAAGAAAAATGGCGTGGTTGTTAACCGAAGGGGTCTCCACCCTGTTCTCCTAAACATACATAAAAATGGCCACTTTGATACAGTGGAACTATCGAGGTTTTCGTTTTAATCTTGATAACATTAAGTCCCTGATTGACTCCTATCATCCCGCGTGTCTCTCCTTACAGGAAACATTTCTGAAACCTGCCGATACAGTCACCCTTCTGCAGTTTTCTTTGTACCGGAATGACAGGTTGTGTGATGGGC